TTATCCAACATGAAGTTCTCACTGTATTAAAAAAAAAAAACGATGCTCGTAAAGTCACGTGTACAAACGTGGAAATTGCAAATAATTAATTATATTTTTACTTGTGAATTACTACTCAATTAATGATATAAAGCTAGCAGGAACCTCATCACAACAATTTCACATCTGTTTAAGCGTCAAATTAATGTCTTACAGTGTTATATTTTGAAACAAAACGGGTAAACAAGCCACTGTTAAAAAGTCAACCGTAACTATTTTTTTGGCCAAAAACGTGATATTTTCAACGAACAACTCTTCAAGTTCAGTCACATTTACTGGACAAAATGTAACTTCGTTTTTATCACTCTATTTTAATAAAAACAAATACACTCTCTCCCCTAAAATACAAGTAAGCATGTTTAGATACAAAAATACACATCATTTCACACACACAGAAACTATTCGTATTTTAAATTAAAATTCCCTCGGTGGGAAAGTGACAAATCTATGGACTAACAACGCTAAAATACGGGGCTTGATTTCCCCGGTGGCCACAGTAGATTACACACTGTGGCTTTGCTCTAAATCAAACAAATAATCGAAACTAAAATATTAAACATACGGATCACACATACTGTTCACCGCGTATGTTTAACATACATGACCGATAGCCGTAACTATTTTCTTAAGCGTTGCAATACCATTTTGTAAATTTTAAGCGCCAATGTTTTTTTTTTAAAGTATGTGAATTGCCGGCCATTCTAAAAATAATCCAATAAAAACTCGATATATAAAAGTTGTTGTGAAAAATGAGACTGGCATTCCTCAAAGAAAGTTTGTCCAAAAATTCGTATTGAAATTTATAATACTTTGGAAAAAAATAAAGCAAACGTTTTTTTTTTTGTTGTTACGCGCAGAGCTACACAATGGGCTATCTGGTTTTGCCCACCACGATTATCGAACCTCCTACTTTTAACGTTATAAGCCCTCGGACTAACCACTGAGCCACCGAGGGCCATAAAGCAACGTGAGAGAAAAATTAAAAGGTGTGACCAAAAGCAGGACATACGAGTTATGTATAAAACTAAAAACGCTACTTAAAGTTTAAAGAAGAGGCGAGAAATTAATAAAAGCCGAAAAAAACTGTAAAGAATAAGTTTCAAGTATTAAAAAATTATATTGTTATTTATAGGACTATAATATATATTGGACGACAAAATTTCCTTTTTTCAAGGAAATATACAATAACTTTTTAAAAAATCCATGAAAGATATGCAAATTAAATTTGCTACTGAACAAGGTTTGCTGAAAACACTTAAATCAGGCTTAAAGTTTTCCACTTAACTGCAGATGACAAAATTGCAAAAGTACAATAATACGAGGCTAAGAAAACTGCCACATTACAATAAAGACATGTCCGCAGGTGTTGCAAGTCCATAAAATTACCACCGACTCGACTGCACTAAGAAAACAAGAACAGAAGGACGCACATTGTTTTTTCTTTATAGAGCAAAGTTATCGAAGTCAGATCCTCAGGGCAAACAAGAACTTTTTTTTTTTGGGCCATCCAGAAATAATTCAATAAACGACTCAAACCTCATTGAAGTGGCCCTAGTTGATACTAGGACGAGGAAAATTTTATTTTGAGCAGTTTGTTTGTAGTTAAGTGCAAAGCTACACAATGGGTTATCTGTGCTCTGCCCACCACGAGTATCGAAACCCGGTTTCTAGATTGTGTGTCCACAGGCATACTGCTGTGCCACTGGGGGGCGGGCTACTTAGATAGTCTTTATGATCTACTAAAGAGAGTTAAATTATAATTTTGAATTGTGTTAATAAGTCTTATGTCATTTTGGATCGCCCCTCTTTTGAATTGTCCTACTTAGAAATTTCCCAGTGACTTTTATGGCCAGTCATCTTCTGGTGGGGTCAGATAAAGACCCTACCAGAAGATAGGTTCTTTATGAAACCCGGTATCAAATTTGTATATTAAAAAAAAATTTATTTGTCAATGTTAAGATTTTCAGCCAAGGATAACTTCATTCTTCAACACTATAGTTCTTAAGAGTCTCAGCTTCCACGTGAACTAATCCAGTCTATACTATTTCTTCGAGTCGGTGTTGAACCGTAAACCTTTTGTATATCAGAGGCCTAAGCTAAAAGGTTAGCCCTCTAGCCGTTCCCAGTAAGGTACTTTTTTAAAAATACATCTTACCATAAGTGAATGGATGAAACACTAAACAGTGACTTAAAAATCAAATCATGTTAATTAGAAACAACAACATACAGTCAACAAATGGTTACTACGCATATTTGTTTTGTTTTTTCGATCTCTATTGGCTGACAGACCAGAAGTACTAGGAGTACTAAAAGGGAGATTTGAAACACATATCAGAAACATTAACATGTCTTTTCTCTGGATGTGGAACACTTTACACATTTACCATGCCAATGTACACCGAGAGAAACGAACCATTTTGCAAGCGATCTGTCCTTGGTGCTACTTAGAATGAAAGAAGAAGGGGTCATACTTTGAGAGCACCTGCTGAACTCCCGTGGAGGTGGGATACATATACATCAAAGTTACTGACATATATCCCCTGAACACCTGCTCGAAATGAGGAATCATTAGGACAGCTGGTGTTGATTCATCTCCTGACAAAAAGAGACTCATAAAAATACAAAAGAACTAATCTTTGCAGCCTCCTATAGAGAATCACTTTTAAATAAAACGTGTATCAAGTGTGGAAACACAAAACATTTCGATTTAGAATACGAACAGCTATGTTACATTATAAGTTGTCAATGAATCCAACAAGTACATTATATTCATGAGTAAAAATCAAGGCTTTAAAAGAAGAGTTGAAAACACCGTATTTGGACCATTATCAGACAAAAATGTATGATAGCGATAGTGAGTTCAGTCAATATTTTGATGGCTTCACGGGGATGACGAGACCACATTCGTTATTTGCTGGTCTACTGAAGGAGTGTTGTGCCTGGCATTACACTTTCGTTTGGCGTTGGCTTAAGGTAGTAAAAATTGAAACTGCTGCCAAACTCCAACCGTTCATTGGATTTCTTAACCTTCAAACGCGATCTCTAATGGGATTCAACCGAGTTCCTCTATAAAATTTCACCAAAATTGGTCCATCCAGTTTCTCATTAGCTCTTGTGGCGTCGTAGACAGACATACAACTATGCTTTATATATATAATTATATAAAACTTCTGAAATTGCTTTTTTTACCACTTTGTTTTACGAAAGTGTCTTTTTTGTGGGCAAGCGTGGATGACTACATAAATTTCCTTAACAAAAACAGTAAAAAACCTGACGATATATGTATATGTAGCTACTGCGCGTGAGTTTTCACATACAGATAGCAAACCAATTGTCAATAACTTATTTATTCCACGTTTAAATAAATATATTTTATTCCGTACACAATTGTATTTTGTCACAGTTTAAAACTTTCGCACATCAAATATGCAGTTTGATAAAAAGACACATATTTCAAGAATAATTTGATTTCTCTTTTTTATAAACAATACCCCCCACCCCCAAAAACATGTTTTTAGGGTAGCAAATATATTACTTCAACTGATGTAGTTATTTTTAGTTTATATTCTCAGAATTAGGATGATGAAGTGGTCATTTTTGTTTTGGTCAAGGAATTAATTTTTGTTTTTGCGAAATTATTTAAAGGCACCTAACAAAACAACCACTTTAATATCAGTATTCCAAAAATAAATAAAACCAAGTAAGAAATGAGAGGCACTTTAAATTATTTCAGCTGTTGGCTTGATCATCCTTCATCTCACAATTCTTACTTTTATTGCAGCTTTTGCATCAAAATAAAAAAGGAACTGGTGACATTTCAGCATTACTCTAGCCATACAAACACAAGCACTATGTGACGTACTATGTCACATGTACCTTAAGCTTCCAACATCATGTAAAAGTTGGTTCTAATTGGTTAATGGAGAGAAGAATAAATGTGAAATATTTATACAATTCTTTATTTTCCCTAACATATTCAAAATCTATCGTAGATATAAAATTTCAAATTACGTTATTTTATAAAAGAGAAGCCGAATGTTCTATCCTTATAGACAGAATTAAGTTAAATTATTTTTTTAAATCACCATTTCAAGTAATGATTCAACAGTCTGACAAATTATTTATCTTCTAACACGTCCCTCAGGAGCGTCTCTACACTACGATTTTTTGAATATTAGAAGTTCAATCCAGAAACTCCCAAAGAGGGTAGTTTTTGATGTATCTTTTCGAAAGAAGTTTTTGTTTGTTAATTGATAAATTTTTAAGTGAAATACAACATCCTCAAGTCTTCGGTATATATCAATAAAGCCACATTCTCAGCATCATTAATTAAGCAATTGCCAACCTTTTATGCTTTTGCTATCACCTTTTTATGTTTAGCTTTCAATTGAGATACAAACGATTTCACCTGCGAATCAATAGGGAAGGTCGAAGCATCACGATAGTCAGCAGTAGGATGAGCAGACAGAAACGCTTTGAAAACAACTGCAGACAATATTGTGCTCGGCTTGCTGCCCAATATCTATCAAAGTGGTTCTACACGGTTCCTAAATACCTCTGCGCGTCATTTGGAGACTTCCATGCTTCTTGTGCTTGACCCTTAAGCTCATGATGCGCCAACGGATTTCAGTCACCTTACCACTTCAAATTACTTTCAGTTCAAATTAAGAAAAAACCGCATTGGGTAGTTTGTTTTTTTTCAACAAAAATGTCCCTCACTGACTTGTGAGGGCCTGTTAATAAGCATTTTTGATAATAGGCTACCAATTTTCCTGGAACACTTTTCAAGTTTCAGTAAATGACTCAGAAAACAGCTTACAACAATAAAATTTCTCTCTCTCTCTCTCTCCTATATATATATATACTGGAGGTTTGTTAACAAGTAAATTACTTGGCCATATATTGTACAGACTACCATTTTGACCCATCTGTGTAAGTTATTTAAATCTCTCACAAATATGTAGGTTATTTTAGTGGTATTTATTTCATAATTACCAGCCGATTTTTAACATCTTAAAAACTATAACCTGGAATACATTCATGATGAGCTGTTTCAATATTTTACTTGTTAAAGTCATTTGATAATTTTAAGGAAACATATCCGAGTGAAGAATGGATCAGGATCACCTTTCTGTGAAGAAATTTTCAATAAAGATATATGCTTGATGGTGTTTTGAAGCTTAGATATATTAACTGTATAACTTATTATAAACAAGAAATTTTTCTGAACGTGTATAAATTACTAACACAAAAGTACTATAACAACCGAGACAATTTTCAAATTTAAAATACAATTAATTTTGAATCTGGTAATATATATCTAAATTGCATAGTTTAACTGAAATTTGTAAAACAAAAACAGAATGAACAAGGATTTTTCTAAATAACTGGGATGAAAAAATGACACTATCAAAGTCATGTTCTTAGTGATAAAAAGTAACAATGTTTTTGTGTTCTTAAAACATACACATACACAAATATACATATCTATAGAAATTTATATAGGTGTATACATATTTACTAATAACCAACTCTTATTTCAGGTTTAAACATTTCAATATCTTACAATTAATTCCATTTAACAATAAAACTTCCATAAAAAAAATGTGACAATGTCTACATTTATTGTGTATAAAATATATACGTTATTTCAGTACAATATATAAGTTTTCTCACCAGATATTTGAGTTCTTAAGACTTTATGAACAAAGCATATTTTAATATTCAAATGATATGAATAAAAATAAGCCTTGGTCAAATTGTGCCTCAAATAAAAATCAGTGTTCAACAACTTTCTGCAACTAGTTATTGAACCTGGATAAAATGATAAACAAAATACATGTTCTGCTAGTTCCTTTGAGGTAAAAAACGTACAAAGGTTTGAATAAATTTTGATGTAACAACTTACCTATCTACACATTTTAGATAATTCATATCACATGGATATTAACATAAATCAAAAATCTGAAACTTTTTTTCACAAACTACCCTGCTTTAAATAAGTAAAAAGAAAATTGTATTTGCTCAACTAACAATTCCTCTCTGTATGTACTTTTTTCCAGTATATCTGGTTATTGATTTTTTTTAAATCAAAAATAAACACCGTTTTTCATGAATATTGTTACAGTTCCAAATTTATTTAATTCTATCCTCTATTCTCCAGTTTTTTTTTGTTTAGCATACACACATAAAACATATAAAGCAACATTAAGTTACTGTCTTTCTCTATAAGCTTGACTTTGAACATACTGTTACAAAAAAAAAGTGAAATCTTTTACAGTCTTTACATCCATTTTGTAAAATTTTTTTTCAGAATGTTTTAAGATATTGTAGTTGTTCGGCATACATGAAAAATATCATTTTACAAAATTTTATCGACAATACCTACATACAATTTAATTCTATTCATCTGTTTTCAAGAGATTTTGATCACATTAATACAAGTATGAGTTTTCTTGGTGTAACCAAAGATAATGAAATGTGGTAATCATATGCATACATATTTTTTCCATCCACTAATTGAAATATATATAGCAAATCTTATAAGAAAAATAGACTTGCAGGTGAGTAAATATGTAAGTATAATATTAAAGATCAGATATGCACACTTTCTATAGATACAAATAACCACATATTTGAAATAAATACAACACTTAAAGAATTAGTAAATCAGGAAAGTGTAACCATTTCTGTGGAGAATTAGAAACTGAGCTTAGTTAATAACAATTCCAGTTTTACCATGTCTTTCCATGCATTTTAAATATTCAAAAAAAAAAGGTGTTTCCTATACAATGATAACAAAAATTACCTTTACTGGCTTTTTTATATATATACATATATATATAGTTTCATTTCCCAGTCATTAGAACAGTATGGCTATTTTAAAATAATTATTTAATACTATTTGTATAATGCTTATTGAAAATTAGGTTTCTAACTTTTTTTATTCCATTTTTTCCCCATCTAAAGCTAATATTTCTACATTATATTTCTTATGCACCATGTATAAAAAATATATAACTAACAATAAATATTTTACAAATAGAACAATAGTCTTTTGAACATGTGTCCTTAATAACAGTCTTGCAGTGAAATACCCAAAATACTTCATCACCTAAAACCAGAATAAAAAAACAACAACTCTGATATCTGGATGAGAATTGCATAATTAGCACTGATTATTGAACTTTCAGAGATGGAAGAACTTTAGTTAACACTAAGTTTATTATCTAAAAATATATTTCAAATGCAGCTGCTTGGTTTATGTATATAAATATATATATATCTTAAAAAATAATAATAAAATTTTCTTTTTGAAAATATTATGTAACATTTTCTTAAAACAAGCTGAATTATTATGGTTATACTTTATCTTAAACTTGTGATATTATACTTGAAAAAAAAATCAAACATGTATAAATATAGGATTTTATATCTCATTAATCCACGTTAGAGCTACACTATACCAAAGACAGTCACTTTACACTGAAGCTCAAACTCAGCAGTTCTAGTTTCCAGTTTTCCTGCTTGCATAGATCAGCATTCTGGCTAAGATAATTGGATGTTCTAAGTAGCATCAACAATGTTCTGGTCAAAACATATATGATATCACAGAGTACTTTACTGCCTACTGCAAGACAACACACTTTCTGAACCTTTGCTATCAGATGCCCACATAAGAAACTACAATTACCATATATGGTAAAATCATTGAAGATATCACAGAAAAACGAAACAGTCCACAATGTTACAGTACAGTCTCCCAGCCCTTAACTTCAGATGCCTGCTCTAAGAAGAACTTAAAAGCTACCACTAACTACCATCGTGTGTATTGTCAATGTCATTACTACAAAAATGTGACGTCACCAATATCTTGATTTAATTATATAAGATATCACAGACAGACTACACTGTCCACAGTTTGACAGTACAGCCTATAAGCCCCCGTTCTCAGATGCCCTCAAAAGAATTTAAAGCTACTACTTACCACATTCTGCTAAGCACTGTGTGTAGTGTCATAAGCATAGAAAGAATGCTATTGTCATCAGTGCATTTAATTAAAAATACATATATAAGAAAATGAAAGTTGTCAGTGTTAAGAATTGTTTAAGACTTATGTATACTGACATTAGTGATGCAGTTTGAGTAAATGTGCAAAACAATTAAAGCTGTCAGTCAACCCTTATCAATTATTATTGAACAAAAAACTATGAGCATAATTGTAGACCTTCAATGGAAAGACTGTTTAAAAAATGCACATCTCAAACACTGTATACTCCTTGTATCCACTGTCTCAGCAGACTGACCACTGCATGATGCTACAGTCCCTTCCTCCCAAGCTAATCACTCGGGTATCATCAGGGAGAAAACTCACAGCTGTGATGTGACTGCTGTGTCCACTGTACATGTGGTAAAGGCACTAAAAGAGAAAGCATTGAAAACATGTAACAAATAGTGTTCTTAAAGTAACTAGTTTTTGTAATTATCGCTGAAAAAAGCTACAAAGCAATATAAATACTTTCTGTCTGTTAATAAAATGTGTATACAATGAAAACACCAGTTAAGTAGAATAGGAAATTTTAAAAGTTTTAAGTCAAAATCATAACACTAAATGAAGCTGATCTTTTAGAAATTATCACTAAACATTACTACTGCATGAAGTGGATACTTCATGTTTGATCCCTAATCATTACTACTGTGTGAAATGGATACTTCATGCATGAACACTAAACATTACTAGTGTGTGAAGTGGATACTTCATGCATGAACACTAAACATTACTAGTGTGTGAAGTGGATACTTCATGCTTGATCCGTAATCTTTACTACTATGTGAAATGGATACTTCATGCATGAACACTAAACATTACTACTGCATGAAGTGGATACTTCATGTTTGATCCCTAATCATTACTACTGTGTGAAGTGGATACTTCATGCTTGATCCCTAATCAATACTATTGTGTGAAGTGGATACTGCATGCTTGATCCCTAAACTACAGGTTAATCTCTAATAACAAACAAGAATGCTGTACTGTATAGTTAATTTCTACAAGGTCAACAGCAAAGTAATGTGATGCTGAATGGATGATCTCTAATCATGATTAATATATGTCTTTAGTTATGGAAATCTCTGTTACAAAGTTTCTTCATATACATCAATCTTTAAACTCTTTCATTCTAAGAAATAAATAAGATTATATCAGTTTCCAAACAGATCTAGCATTAATCCTCTCTTCACTTTTTTTGGGGCTGGATTTTGTATTAAAAAAGATAATACTCATGTAAGAATAGATGAGAAATTGTAGTGTAAACCAGATCAACTTTTATTGGCCCAGTCAGATGGGTAAAATGGAATGCCCTCTGGTGAAATTATGTCACTTGCAGTGAGTACACCCAACTAGTGTAACTGAATGTTTACATGTTTACCACTACATTATTTCCCTACAAATGTGACTGAGGTTGTCTAGCTTTTTGCATAGAATTTGTCACTCCTGCTTCATATTACAGCAATAAAAAGGTGAATAAATCACAATGCCTTGAATAATTGATATAGTTGGAAAACTTGACACTCATTCTTTCTTATAGAAAAACAACATGCAAAGTTGGATGTATAAAGATAACTTAATCTATCCCTAAAGTGTACAATGCAATAAAACTTGTCTAATAATTACCTTAGGCTGGCATGCAGGGAAGGAGAAGAGTTTCACTTTTCCAAAGTCATCACCTGTCACTAACAATTTTTTATTATGAGATTTGTCACATGTATTGATATCAGATCCATCAGCATTCTCAGGCCACATTCCTGAGGGAAAAAAAAACAGTCAGTAATTTTTTTTTTCTTTACCAGTGTCCTGTTTAAAATTAATGTTTCAAAGAGCTTTATATTTACACTCTTTAAAGATAATTCTTAATTAAGTTAAATAATATACTGAATTAAAAACAGCTAATTTTCACTAGACATTACAGGAAATTTATAATGATAAATTGTAAGCAAATTACCCTTTCAAAGAAGTACGAGAAAGATTAGTCAGAAAGTGATACTTCTATTTTGTTATTTACTGTTGGTAAATCATACACTATAAAAATCTATAAAAAATCATACAATAGGAAATTAATAGGTCAAATTTTTAAACATGCACCTTAATAAATTAGTTTATTCTTATTTCATTTATATAGAAGTTTCCAGTTGTGATAGAAAATTAAGATGTTAACTTTGACCAAGGTAAACATTTCAGTTTTAAATGCAAGTCGTAGAAAATCGTGATACAAAAGAATTAAAGAGCATTACACAAATGAAATACCATGTTACTGAAATCAAAACAAATTACTTGTCCTTGTTCACACATACATCCTTCAAGACACTCAGCAAATGTGAAAACAAAAACAAACAACTTAGCTGTCCTTGTTCATAGCTTCTCCAAGTAGATAGATAAACACTTACTGTTACAAAAGCAATAAATAAGAAATTACTACTGAGAATTTCAGTGAAAACTTTAACATATAATATCAAACATGACCGTACCCAAAACATTAAACCCAATGGTGCAGGTTTGTGTCTCCCACGTGATGTCTCTGACTACAGCAATATTTGTTACTTGTCTACAAACTGAAGCATTCCCTGGAAAAAGCATAAATAATTATTTTAGGTTTACTGGAGTTTAGTGTTTCTCTCTATTAAGTGTTTCAATAAAACTGCATCAAATTATATCAACAGTGATTCAGTACTTTGACACACATGTATTCTAATGAACAAGTAAAAAAAAAAATTCACAGCTGCTGTTTTTTCCAATACAGCTAGATCTTATCATTAAACTCTTTCTACATTATGTATGTATTTTATAATATAAATTGACAACATTTCTCAACTTTACTGCTAAAACATAGAACTTATTCAAAAAACATTAAAACAACTGATTATTTTACACAGCCTTAATCTATATATAAGTATATTACTTTGTTATTACAACAAGACACTTGTTTGACAAATAATCAAGGTATGTTTAACTCTACATAATAATAATAAAAAAAAACTCTGAATATCAATCATCAACAAATCATTAATCTATTTGTTTAAAAAATCATAATACAAACTCACAGAATAATAGTTCATGATCTCCCGCTGTTGTCTGAATATAGGTGCTGTTTTCGGACCAGTCAAGGTGAGTCAGAAAACTAGAGTGCCCCTGTAATTAAAGATGTAACAAATGAGGTTACAATAATCAGAAGGAAATTACAAAAAGTACCAAAAGAGTTAATTGGTTCTAGAGTTACCCTGTAATTAAAGATGGAACAACTGATGTTAAAATAATCAAATAAGTAGTATATGCATGTATCTATTTTTATAGAAAACCACATCAGGCTATCTGCTGTGTCCACCAAGGGGAACTGAACCCCCGATTTTAGCGATGTAAATCCGTAGACTTACCACCATCCCACCGAGTGACAAATATGAAAAGTATCTAAAAGTTAGTTGGTTCAATGTCTGTAGTAAACATAAACTGTCAAACAAAATTAACAATTCAATCCTTTAAAATCAGAAGTTCTGGTGTTGATCAGTATAGATCTTAAATATATCAGTTTCTGATAAAGAACTTTATACATATCAAAACTGTATCATAGTTAAAAAAACCTACAGTTAAATTTATACAATATTTACTATAAATACTTCTTCAAATATCACTGTCAACATAATTAAAGAATGTTTAAAAGAATTTACCACTTGGTCTAAAGGAATTATTAATTTCTTTTATAATGCTTTTGGATTGACATTTTTAATACTCAATACCCTAAACCTGCATTAAAATTATGAGAAGAATCCCAATTTCCATGAAGATTATGACAAACTAAAAGAAGTAGACACATTGAATAAACTTGTCCAGTTGATTTTAAAGTAAAGCACTGTATTATACTATAACTACAGTTAGTGAGTTATTCCATATAAATTGAAAGAATTTAAACGTGATATATTAAATGAGGCAACAATAAAATTTTTGGTCTGTGTTAAATAACAATAAATAAGAGATGTAAAGAGACGGTAACTTGGTAACAACTAGCAGATGTACGCATGCAAAGCGCAGTGACAGGTTTACGAAAATTATGTTTCTTCGAAATATGCCAGTGGCAATGTAAAGATTAAAAGTATATAAGAATAAAATTATTCATGTCCACTAGGCTTGATTATTTGAATAACAGTTTATTTCTTTATCTAAAAAGCAATGAGTAACACGTGACTTAAAAACGTGTCTATCTTGAAATTATGTACTAGAAATCCCTCAAAGGATTAACAGGATTTGAAAATGAAATGCAATAGTAGAATTAATGTTTTACCAGTTACAAATATAAATGGTGTTTCTGTTTTTGTCCCAAAATATGGCAGTAATGACTGAAAGTATACAGACTGTATACTTACCCCATATAATGAATGAGGAAACTGGAAGAATTCAATTAGTAACCCTAGTCCCCCCCCCCTTCTAAGAGGAGATACTGAGATTGTACATTATACATTTTCTACGATAAGATAG